GATGTTAGATGTGTTTGTTATCTGGGAGCTGACCTTTTTTATGAAGGCTGATATAAAAAGGGTCTTAAACACTGTCTCTGTGCTATTTATTGTCACCTTTTTCCCCACCCCCCCTCCCATTAAAGTAAACAGCTGTCAGATCTGACATCTTCAAAAACCCTGTTATGAGGCAAACAGTCCACCACTTGGGCCACTCCCTCCTGCCTTCTGTGCTGAAAGCCCTCCTGGGACCCATGTCTCCTGGCAGCAGTGGGCAGGGCTGCTTCCTACTGAGGTTTACCTTCCTCTCCCCTAAAACTCTAAACGAAGGGTTGCTCTGAGGAATGCAGACAGCGGAGATTAAGCTGCTGCAGAGATTTGTAAGCCGTGCTAGGCAGCAGTCAAGCATGCCTGGTCCGATGTTGGACCAAGTCCACAATGACCGCTCATCCTCCATATTTAATTGTTGTTCTGGTTTGTTAATTTTTAACTACAGTGCATCTCCTGTCAAGTACCATTAATATTTCTGAGCAGCAGCAGGGTTCACTGAGCAGAAAAGTTCTTGTGACAAAAAGTACCTTATTTGGTATTTCTGCTCTCTATTCTGCTGGAAAGACACTGCACTCACTGGGATGTTCAGTCTTTTCAGCAGCTGCAGTTCCAACACCAGTCAGGGATCAAATGCAGTGCTTCATTTGGACTTGATTTTCCTTTTCATCCTAGCCACTGCCACTTCACTTCAAGTTGCAGTTCAAGATCTTACTGCAGCTCCCAGGTTTCCACACACTGTCTGTAGTTGTTTAGGAACCATCCCTGCTTTGGCTTACAAATGTTACCAGCTGGAAATACTGGCTGCAATGCACTTCCCACACATCACTCCGACTGCAGTCCCACTGCTGGCCAACCATCTGCACAGACACAGGCTGCCAGGAGAGAGGAAGCAGAAGGCCAAGAGTTACTGCCTCTCTTGGGCTACTGCCTGCTAGTTACTGAGCCAGCAAGAGATGAAGAGGTCCCAAGTGGCCACTTGTCCTTGTGTTCAACCCTGGCCTATGCCCCAGATGTTGGTCTGTTCTTCCAGCCTCAGCCCCTATCTGGAAGGCCAGGCTGTATACCTGCTGCTGAAGGAAGGCTGTGATCCTTTGAAAAGCTGACTCAAACAACCCGCTCCTGTTCTGCACTCAAGCCCAGATGTAGCCCTTTCAGGTCTAATGGGCAGTTTCAGTATTGTCTCCTTGTCCTCCTGGGTAGATGAAAAGAGGAATGGCCAAGTGCTGTGTACCAGCTGGGGGCAAGGCCCAGGAAGAAGCGCACTGCTGTTCTGTGTGACATATTGGGTGCATCTACATGAGATGCTTTACATGAGATAATTAAAGCAAATTACTGTGTACCAAGCATCACCGTCTACATGTCCAGATGCTTATTGTGCAGTAATTTGCTCTAATCTCAAGTAAATTTGCTACTTGTAAATACAAGTAGCAAATTTATTTGGGAGTAACTAATTACTGTGCAGTATGGCATGTGTAGACAGCTGACTGGGAGCTCCCTGTCTCTGTGCTCCCTGTCAGCCCCTAGGCTAGCACCCAGGGCGAGACTAGAGCTCCCCCTGGCTGCTGCAGGGGGCTGGTGCAGGGCTGGGAGCAGACTGCTGCTATGAGCAGCAAATTTGTTCCCATTTCCTTGCACATCTAGATGCCTGTCCGGTTTGGGTTTACTCTAGAGTAATTTACTCTAGAGTAAACCTACCCCAGAGCATTTGCACATGTAGGCACGCCCACTGCTGTAGTTGCTTGGTGCCAGTGAGATAAGCTGGCAATGGGTCGCCAGCTAGTCTTGCCCTTCAGCACACTGTGAGGGACAAGGGTGCTGAGTAGAACCTTTTGAGGACTCATCCCAGATAGCTCGTCTCTGCAGAACAGCACATTGATAATTTGAACCCATTGCTCTGGCAATCCTTTTAATCTCCCTTCACTCAGCCAGTCCGGGAGAAGGACTCTTTCAGTTCTCCTTAGAAGAGCTGCAGCATTCTCCAGCATGCCCTCAGGGAGGCATATCTGATGTTGTGGACTGCTCTGCACTGCATGTTGTGATGTTCAACAGCTTCTGACTGACCTGTTTTCCTCTAATGAGGAAGCTTGAGGTGCCATGCATTGGATCTGGGGTCAGAGGACTGCAGTTCTTAGTACCATTGTACTTCAGCTAACAACACTAGGTTTCTGCCTAAAAGATCTTTCTCTTAGAGACAATGGCTAGCTAATGGAATAAAGACAGGGGTTCTTATGGAAGAATTGCTTGATCCCAGGAGGTCTCAAACCCTACAGGGACTCCTTTGGACTTTGGAAGTACAGAGCTCTCCCTTAAGACCTCAAACAAATGCCAACAAAGGAGCAGGAAAAGACTCTCATCCTCTAGCATACAATTCTGCAAGCATGCTAACAAGCAGTGATCTACAGCTATTGCTATTGTTCCTGCACTGGAAGGAATTTAGCTGCAGGCAACCTTACTGTCCACCTCCAGGCTGCCTAGATAAGAGACTATTATTGTAGCCACTGCATTTTTATTTGGCCAAGAACATTTAAACCTGCTCCCTCCTTTCACAGACAAGGCCTCATTTCTAAAGTTCAAGGCCTTGATTAAGAAACCTCTACCAAGGGGCAGTCAGAAGCTTTGGGAATATTCATTCAGCCTTTTGCTCTTTCAGAAACCATTCTGGTGCTTAAGTTTCCCTGGACAACCATGTCTAGCTCCATGGCTCCAAGCTGACAAACTCCATCTCCAAGGCAAGATACTTGCATGCACACTTACAGGGGGTCAATTCTTCACACTAGCACAAAGTATTCATAGCTGGACTGTCACTCCTGACAAGCACACCAACAAGCTGGGCTCACTGAGTGTGGAAATAAACAAGCCAGTAGCTGGCGTGGGGATTGCTTTATTAGGTGAAGCTGGAATGGGCTGAGGAACAAAGGACAAAACTGGTGGAGAAGCTTCTAAAATTGTATTAAGAACTAGGAGGAGGGCAGTGGACTATAACTACAGTGGAGAGTGGATGAACATTTCCTATGCCTTGGTTTGGCACTGGGTTGCACACAAGACCTGCACTGAGCTGGCAGTGGCCTGCATTATAGAAGAGGGCAGATGAATGGCAGAGGGCCCTGCACACCACTGGGGACGGCTCTGGCTGTCATTACACCCCACTTAGGACCACTGCTGGGGCAGCGGAAGCATTCCAAGAGGGAATTTTTCCACACTTCCCTTGACATGTGTAACCTCTCTGCAATGTCAGACTGACTTGCCAGGAACCACAACTTCAGCTACAGTGGCCAAACAAGCAAATGTTGAGGAGGACAATTGAGAATGGACAGGGGTAGCAGATACAGTGAGGGATGGATTTACTGTTCACTTCAGGGAGTGGATCAAGGGAGACTTCCCTCACACAAGTGGCTGGCACTGTACAAAGAATGGATTTTTCCCACCAAGGTAACTGGTGATATCACAGTTCAGTGCAACAATTTATAATATGAAAAGCTGGTTCTGAAGATGGCTCTTCTCATCAGCCAGGGATTGCTACTGCATTTTCTGTAGGTTGTCTAGTGTATTCAACTCTGGCCTCACCCACTGAGCAAGGATCACAGAGTAATGCACTTGATGCGGTACCTTTCCCTGAGGGTCATGTTAGGAAGTACTGTAGATGGGATCATATGGTTAAACACTCCTTCTTCAACTGCCTGGTGATGGATCATCAACTTAGTTGTGTTTCAGGGGTGCATAATTCAGATGCAAATATGTAAAACAAACCAACACCAGGAACCCAGACCTCAGTCAGCGGTGATCCATCCCCTCACAGCCTTGTTAACAGCCTGACCACACAGGCCAAGGGTGTAATAGACAAATGGGAACCAGCCTTTTGGGCAGGCATGCCACATATTAAGCACCCCCCCAGCTTTGACAAATGTCACTCCAATCCCCTTCCCTGCCTGATCTGCTGCCTGCCCAAAGCTGCTGCCTGCCCCTCCCCAACCTGCCTTGTGCCACACATAGAGGCTGCCTGTGTCACTTGTGGGATGTATGCTGAGTGCTGGCTGGACAGCCCTGCAATAGACCATGGAAACCGAACAAGGGAGAGAGGCTTGGATCTATGGGCTGTTACGGGAGCAAGGACTGGCTTGTCAAGACACACATACAGAGCCTTAACCCTCAACTGCAGAAATGTACTAGCTGTCTGTGCAGCACGAAATCCTGTCCAGGCATGTGTGTCCAGCCCACACTGTTCATCTCCACTTTCCCCCTAACCCTAGTGACTGCTGTTACTATCTCAGAGGTACAGTACCTTGCACATGGGTGCAAGTGCACCCCCTGGAAGCGCCAGTTGCAAAACCGGAAGTGCCAGCGGAAATGCGCTTCCAGTTTCACTGCTGGCTCAGCAACTGGCCACTGGGAGATGCGTCCCCCGCACCCTGGTCAGCGATCGGCCATGGGGGGAACCCCCTCTGGTCAGCAATCTGGTGCCTGCCTAGACTCAGAAGGTACCAGTCACCCATGATCAGCACTACCTTTTTAGACAGCCAACCTCAAACTTAACCATGTGCATGCGCATGCACATACACATCCATAACCCGCCCCCCCCCAATTCACTTCAAAATAATTTGCTTCAGGGGCCAAATGAAATATTGTACGTGCCAGTATGGAATGGGTGGTATATATATACTGGTCATATATTTACATGTGGTGAAATGATATTTGGTCAATCTCTGTAACTGCTTCCTGAGTCTCTGTGAATGAAAGTGAAAGTATTAAAGAAGAGAGAGGTGTCTGGAATACATCAGGCAGTGTGTGCTGTCATCTATGTAAGCCTGTCCCTGCAAGTAGGATGTGTCAGCTTGATTTAGGTGACATTATTAACCTCTGGAAGGTGTGTCTGTTAGCCGGACAGGGGTTAGTTGTATGGTGTGCACTGGGGAACTGGTTTGGAAGAACTGGTGGTGAAGTGAGTGAAGTTGTGGCTGATTGGTATAAATTACCTGGGCATGCAGTGAGGCGGGACAGGTGAAAGCAGGAGGAGGTAGAGCAAGTGCTAGCTCCGCTGGGTACAGAGGGTACGGCGCCCACACTTCAGGGCTACTGGGATAAAGTGCAGGCACTGTGAGCTCATCTGCAAGAAAAGAATAAGGAGAGTTAATGGTTACCACACTGTAATTTTTCAAACAGGACGAGAACTCACATCATATCAATGTTAGGGCCTTGACTGTCTCATCCTGCAAATAATGGGTCAAAGAGGAGAAAGACTAGGAGAAAAACTCTGCTTTGGAAAAGGGTATCAGAGCCAGGGTCCACCATGGATCAGAGGTGGATTGTGCATCAGCATGACAGGGGAGTGATAGGGGAGAAGATGGCAAGAGGACAGCTAACGGAAGAAAAAAACCCTTGGATAGGCTTCTATCTGAATACGCTGCTGCTACAAGTTCCAACACAGTGGGTGCATGTACATGTGCAATTAATGTGCCTGAATTTTCTTCACAGAAAATGGAATCTCATTAAAGCACTCCAAGGCACACATCTACGCGTGTGCCCCCATTGGGAACAAATTGTGCCTGAGCAGTCCAGGGCTGCTCCTGCCTTGCTCTGCACGAGGCCTGCGCGAAGCGGCAAGTATTCGATTCGGATTTGGATGTGGCTGATTCAGAGGGACAGCGATTCAATTTGGTGATTCGAGTCACTGTCCCAATTCGATTCGGCTGAATTGAATTTGAAGATTCAGCGCAGATTTGGATATTCGGCCATAGACTAAATAGGCAGCAGTCCTTGAGGATGCCGGACACAGCTGCCTCCAGCTGGTATGTCTGTTGTGGTGGGCAGAGAGGGGAGGGATGATCAATGCCACCACAGCAAGAGAAGAATTGGGGCTGGAACAAGCTCCCCAGCCGGGGTGGGGGGGCGTGGGACTCAGGGAGGGGGGCTCCTGGTACTGCATGCCACCGTGTGCTGCTGGTCTGGGAGGGCATGGGAGCGGGTGTGTGCCCCTGGATCTGCGTGGGGTGGGCTGGGCCAGGCTGCGCTCCAGACAGGCAGCGGAAGGCACTGGGAGCAGGGGCTCTGCCCTGCCACTGCTTGTCCACTGGGGTGAGGGGGGCGTGGGATGTGGGCACAGCAGCACTGGGAGCGGGGGCTATGCTGCTTGCCCAGCCGGGGTGACACAGGAGGCATGATGCAGGCACGGCTTGCTCTGGGTGGAAGGCACTGGGAGTGGGGCTATACCAGGGGTGGGTAAAATGTGGCCCGGGGACCGGATGCAGCCCGCCAGGCCATTCTATCCGGCCCATGGGGCGCCTAAAAATTTTAGAAAATTAATATTAATCTGCCCTGGGCTGCCTGTCATGCGGCCCTCAATGGCTTGCCGAAACTCAGTAAGCGGCCCTCTACCCAAAATAATTGCCCGCCCCTGGGCTATGCCCTCCCACCGCTCACCCAGCCTCCCTGTGCCTCCCCAATAAGCCCCGGCTTCACCCCAGCTGGGTGAGCAGTGGCGGGGCAAGGTGGGGGGTGCATGCACCCGGATCATGCTGTGCTGGTGCCGGGGCAAATTTTAGGGTGGCTGCAGCCCCCCCACCCCTGCATAGCCACAGCTCCACTGTGCTCTGTGAGGTGGGCAGAGCCAGGGCTGTGCTCCGTGCTGCAGCTGGGGCTAGCCGCCTGGAGCACAGCCCTGGCTCCACCTGCTCTGCCGAGCGCAGCCTGGCAGTGGGTGGCTGGGGCTAGCCTCTTGGAGTGCAGCCCAGCCCAGCCCGCCCCATGCAGATCCAGGGGCACACACCAGCTCTCGTGCCCTCCCAGACCGGTGGCGCGTGGATCCCACAGTAGTGGGATCTCCCCTCCCTGTGTCCTGTGTGCCTCCTGCCCCAGCTGGGCAGCTTGTCCCAGCCCCAGCCCCAATCCTTCCCTCGCTGTGGGGGCATTGATCTGATTTCCTCCCCCCTCCACAACAGACTTACCAGCTGGAGGCAGCTGTGTCCAGTGTCTTCGAGGACTGCTGCCTGTTTAGTCTATGGCCGAATCTCCGAATTGGCGCTGAATCTTTTCTGAATTGATTTGGAGGCTTCTGATTCAAATCAAACCTTTTAATGGGTCTCCCGATTCAATTCAGATTCGGTCGCTTCTGAATCTAATTGGCTACTGAAGCTTCTCACAGCCCTAACTCTGCATCCCTGGAGCATCCAGGGGGAGCTCCATGCTCCTCTGGGTGCCAGCCCTGGGGCTGGCAGGAGGCACAGGGGCAGGTCCTGATCCCCCCATGGCTGGGAGCCATCCCTGCTCAGGGGGCACGCTGCCTGCCAGACACATGGGGATTGAGAGGGTCCCGATCCCCACGTGGCCAGGAGATCCGTCCCCACTCAGTGGAGACCCTGCCTGCCAGTCACATGGGGAATGGGACAGGGAATGGTTCTCCTGGCCATGTGAGGATCAGGAGGGTCCCAACCTTCATGTGGCTGCCAAGCAGTGTCCTGCCAAGCTGGAACAGCTCTCCCCATCCCCTGTGACCCCCTTCTGTGTAGGCTGACCAGGAGCAATTCCCCCTCTCATGCACCACAAAGGCTGTAGGGATTAACAGCCTATGGCCTTCTCACTGTAGAACAGTCAGATTTAACAGATCTGCTACCCTCCTTCCTGGTGGAGTGCTATGGCCCTATGGCAAATGGGAGTATGTGTAGGAGACCCCTCAACACAGCAGCTTCCCCTCCCTACCTGATGCCCAGAGCACTGCAGCAGGGACAAGACTCCAGGAATTGCTGGAGGCTGAGGGAACCCAGTGGGCCGGATCCAGTCAGCTGGCAGGCTGCATCTGGCCTGCGGGCCATATTTTGCCCACCCCTGGTGTAGCCTCACTTGGTGGGAGGTGTAGCACAGTAGAAGAGGATGTGCCAAATGGGGATCCCAAGGAGGGATAATGTAGTTTTAGTAGCAGTTAAGGGGGAAAGCAGATGGAGCTGGAGATCACAACAGTTGATGTGAGATGGCTGGGATACAGACCAGAGCCTTGGCCATGTAGAAGGAGAGCTGGGATCTGAGAGGCACTGCACAAGAAGGAACAATGGGGCATGGCCTGGATATGTGGGTCAAAGGAGAGGCCTGAATCAAAGAAGAAGCCAAGATTATGGGCCGAGCAGCAGTTTCATCATAGCAAGCAAAGGGAGGCTTCACAGGAAGTATCAGAAGCTTGAAGTGGCCATGATAAGTTTCAGAGATAGCTGGATACCCATAAGGGGATATCAGAGACAAGTTGGGGCTTAAAAGGTTGGAAGGAGGGAGACAGGCCCAGAGAGTGGTAGATGTGTCCTAGGGTGTGTGCAGATGAAACGGGGGCCCTAAACTGAAACGGTGGGTTTTTAAAAACACTGCTTCAATTTAGGGCAAAGTAAACCCCCGTGTCATGCACATACCTGAACTTACCTGCCTCTCTGGCAGCGGGGAGGGGAGGGGGAGCTGCTGGCAGGGGGAGCAGTCCCTAGGCTGCAGGGGGGTGGGGCTGGGGCTTCCCTCCGCGGCAGCCCCCCCGCAGGCAGCACCCGCCTGCAGGCACCCGCTTCGGGTGGTCCTGGGGGGCACCGCAGCCATGGAGGGAAGCCCTGGGCCCCTACGCAACAAAAGCAGGCAGGCTCCAGGGAAAAATAAAAAAGATCTTGGGTGGAGCCTGCCTTCCCAGGCTGCTGCCAGGCTGCCTGCACGGGCTTCCTGCAGAGCCCCTGAGCTGCACAGAGCCTGGTGCTTTGCTCTGCAGCCGTAGGGCAGCAAACTAAAACTCCTCAGCGGAGTTTTAGTTTGCTGTGCCCCAAGTCATTTAACGCTCATTACGCTGCTGAATTTGCTACAGTGGCTGGAATTACTGCACAACATGCCATGGACGCATGCAAACACCAACACCATTAAAGCAGTGCAAAAGCATTTAACCCGCTTTAAAGTGTTGTGCACACATGCCCCTCGTTTCATCTACACACGACCACAATCAATGTAGCGAGAGCCATGATGGATATTGAGCTCCCCTAGAGATAAGGCAAAGGTGACCTTAAGCTTTCCCTATGTGACCCTCCAAACTACTCAGCTTTTCCATGTGAACTTCCATACTCCATTACTCCTTGGAATACTTCTCTACTATGCTTGGGGCTTAGAGCAGCTCCAGAGGAAAAGACCAGAAATCCTAGATTGGAAACTCTCTGAAGAAGGGACTGGCTTTTTGTTCTGTGTCTGCAGAGTGCCTAACCTTATGGTCCTAATCCACGCCTGGAGCTCTGAGGCTACTTCAACATATAAATAACAAACCATAATAGTAATTATAACACAAGTATATGTGAATTTCATTTCTCTCACATTTTATTCTATGTGCTCCCTCCACTAAGCTGAGTGCCATGAGCATCTCACTGCACCAGGGATCTCCTTAGGCCCTGGAGCATGAAAAGCATGTATTTAAAATACCAATTTAGGTAAATAGGGAAGTACTTGACCCACCTGTTCCCCTCTCACCTACTCTCTGGTCCTGAAAACAGCTAAAGCCTGAAAGTTTCCTCTCAGCTGACTCCAACCCGTGCTTTTTCAATGCCACAAATAACAAGACTTCAAATACATACCTTTCATGTTGTTAATGGAAATAACCCTCCCCGCCTTGGGGGAGTGGGTCTCAGGAACACCGAGAGGGCAACCCCTGCTATCTTTCCCTCCTCCATGGTATTTAATGCTGCTTTCTTAATTGCACTACCTGTGGCACAGCTGAATATTTTTGGAAGTGGTCCTGAGTGTCTCTGGCCTGCTGGATATACAGTATGTGGACTGGTGTACTTGCACTGTGGGGAGGGAGAACAGGAAAGGAGGGGGAGACACTGACCATCACTGTACTGCCAGGATAGCCCTGAGCATGGGTGCAATGGTGGCTCATGACAACACAGCCCACTTCCCTTTCTGGAAGCTGTAACAGTATATATACACATGAGGGTGGCAGGGTTGAATTGATCAGCAGCTCAACTGGCAAATCACCCTAGGGAGATAAGTTCTAAAATGTCCTTTCCTCTCCCTGAGTGCCCAGTTAACAGGCTGTCATTTGGCAGCTGAAAGAATGGCCATAGCCCTTCCCAGCAGTTAACCCAATCTCCACCTCTTCTTCCTTGC